CACCCACGCCTGGCCTCCGCCCCGGGACAAGGGCGCTCGCCCACCACTGGGCTGCCCGGGAGAGGGAGGGGACGGGGCTTCGCCGTGGAGATGCGGGGCGGACCGGTATCTGGGCTGGCGATTTCCCGCCACACCCTGTGAAGGAAAGAGAAAGCCCGTCCTGAACGAAGGGAGAAGGGAGGAGAAGGACATTGGCCCCCCCTTTCCGATTGCCCCCGGCCGCTGGGAGTCTGCCCTCCAGGCGTCCAGGGTGAATTGGCAGGGATCGAGTTGTGCCTGCAGAAGCTGCTTTCAGGTGCTTAAAAGTGAGGCCCTGAGAACTCACTCTCCAGTGTGACTCTGGAGGGAAAGAGCCTCAGTCTCCACGCTTTTTCCTTCCTCTCTAAGTGGGAAATGGGCTTCGGGTGCCGTTGAAACCGAGAAGAACTCTGAACCCACCAGAAGTCCGAGCGCGGTGAACCTGAGCCTGCGTCCTGGCCGCACCTCGCGGGGGGGCCGTGGCTGCAGTGTGACAGGGGTGGCCCGGGCTCCTCTTGTCCGGCCCTCCTGGTCCCACCGCAGCCTGAGTGCTGAGCAGCAGGAAGCCCACGCCGTCCCGTCCCCCTGGACTCGGCAGCCTGAGACCATCTGCCCCGCTCAGGGCCCCATGCAGCTCTGCGTTTCCCTCAGACGGACGCCCTCCCCGAGGGCTGCGCAGCGCCCGGCCATGAAGCATCTTTTTTCTTTCTTTTTTCTAATATATTTTATTGATTTTGTACAGAGTGGAAGAGAGAGGTAGAGAGTTAGAAACATCGATGAGAGAGAGAGTCATCGATCAGCTGCCTCCTGCACACCCCCTCTGGGGATATGCCCACAGCCAAGGTACATGCCCTTGACCGGAATCGAACCCGGGACCTTTCAGTTCCCAAGCCGATGCTCTACCGCTGAGCCAAACCGGTTTCGGCGGCAATGAAGCATCTTCTAAATGAACTGACACAGCCTTCCAGTCTGGGTGGGGAGGCAGCTTTTAAGAACAGTCTTAAGAAACCGAAAATTATATTTTTAATCTCGGAGAGACAGGGCTCCCACGTGGCCCTGTGGGGGGGTGGCCACCGGTGGCCCCGGCACCGAGGGAGGACATGTGCCGCCCGCCGCCGCCCCGCCTGCCGGCCCCGCCGCCACCTGTAGCCACAGGGACCTGGTGATGGGAACACGGCGAGGCTGGCGCTCCGAGAGAGCTGAAAACACTTTCCTGACCGTCTCTTATTTGGGGAAAATGATAAATTCTGTGATGATTAAAAAAAAAAAAAAATGTCATTCCAGTGATTACCTTCCACCCTCTGCAATGATGATGAATCGACGATTTGGCATTTTTAGAGGCAGTTGACACAGGCCCTTTCAGGGGGAAAAAGGCAACCGTTTTCAACCGGGCCCTGTCAGCCTGAAGACGGATGAGCTGTGGCTGATCAGGGCCAGGAATAGATGCTGAGAGGCTGCGTGTGAGGAGCCAGGGCTGGACTTACAAATCAGGGCGAAGGCGGGCGTAGGAAATTCCAAGCCATGCCTTCTGCTGGGAAGGTAGGCACGCAGTAGGTTCTCTCTGGGTAAAGGAATACTTATTTCACTCCGTGAGGTGAACTTATACTTTTCTTTACTCACTGTTGAAAAAAAGCAATTTAAAAATTCTACTTAACCTGAGAAGTTTTGATATTTGGGGTTAAAAGGAGGGGAGGAAATTCTCCTTCAAAGAATATTCTATTGGCCCTTTTAAGTCAGAACTAGAGGCCTAGCATAGGACGTTTTTACACTGGGGGCGCTGAGGGGGCCCGGGACCCGTGGGGGCTGTCCGCCTGCTGTGGAGGCGGCCCAGGAGTGAGCCCGGTTCTGGCTGAGCGGCGCTCCCCCTGTGGGAGCGCACTGACCACCAGGGGGCAGCTCCTGCATTCAGCGTCTGCCCCCTGGTGGTCAGTGCACATTGTAGTGACCGGTTGTTCCACCACTTGGTCGATTTGCATATTAGCCTTTTATTATAGAGGGGTCTTCAAACTACGGCCCGCGGGCCACATGCGGCCCGCAGAGGAGTCTGATCCGGCCCGCCAGGTTTTTTGGGCAGTGAGCGCAGCCGAGGTGTTACAGTAGGAATTAGTAGTTCATATAGTCCAGCCCTCCAGCTCTCTGAGGGACCGTGATCTGGCCCCCACTTTAAAAAGTTTGAGGACCCCTGAATAGGATGTTGTTAACAACCCTTGAGAAAGGTTATCAAAACCTCGCTCCATATTTTAATTTAGTTTTAAGCAAGAAGCCATTTTCTTCATAAGAAACCAAAACCCTAGAACCCCCACAGGGAAAGCCCCGCCTGAGGGCAAACTCCAGTGCCGAGGCTTGGGGGTCCGGTCCTCAGCCAGGAGGGGGCCTTTCTCGTGCTTTCCCGCTGACAGCGGGAGGGCCGTGCACGCCCAGTGGCGCGCCCTCCTTCCTGTCCGGGGCCCAATCCGCTGGGTCCTTCTCAGAGGACAGTGGGCGATGCGCTGACCTGCACCGTGCTCGCTGCATACAGGGGCCTCGGAGAGGCTTCCCCGCTGGGCAGAGCAGTGAGCGGTCACGGAGGACAGGGTCATGGTGGTCCCCAGCTTGGGTAACCTCCTGCGGAGCCACAGGCCAGTCCGGCGCCTCTGTAACCCGCACCATCGGGTCTGCCGGCAGGCCCTGCGAGGCAGCTGGTCTGTGAGCCGTGGGAGGCCTGATCTTACTTGTGTTTGGTTTTAGCCCAGAGGGTGAGGGTGCCAGCGTTATGTCTGGAATGTTATTTACTTGGGGCCTGGCTGTGGCTTTCTCTGCGGCGCGGCCTAGGCCGGAGCGGCTCACCCACTGACAGGCAGGGTGCAGCGGGCACTCTCAGCTCCTGTCCTCGGTTCCCTCCTTCCCTTCCTTCCTTCCCTCCTTCCTTCTTCCCTCCCTCTCTCTTTCCCTTCCTCCCTCCTTCCCTTCCTCCCTCTTTCCTGCCCGCCCTCCTTCCCTTCCTTCCTTCCCTCCTTCCTTCTTCCCTCCCTCTCTCTTTCCCTTCCTCCCTCCTTCCCTTCCTCCCTCTTTCCTGCCCGCCCTCCTTCCCTTCCTTCCTTCTTCCCTCCCTCCCTCCTTCCCTTCCTCCCTCTTTCCTGCCCGCCCTCCTTCCCTTCCTTCCTTCTTCCCTCCCTCCCTCTTTCCCTTCCTCCCTCCCTCCTTCCCACCTTCCCTCTTTCCCGCCCTCCCTCCCTCCCTTCCTCTCTTTCCCACCCTCCCTTCTTCCCTCCCTTTCTTCTTTCCTTCCCTCTCTCTCTCCCTCCTCCCTCCCTCCTTCCCTTCCTCCCTTCTTCCCTCTCTCTTTCCCTTCCCTCCTTTCCTTCCTTCCTCTCTCCATTCCTCCTCCCTTCCCTCCCTTCCTTTTTCCTTATTTTTTTCTGAACCGGGCTCAGAGCACTGTGAGGGCCCCATGTCCTGGGTGCCCCGCTGCACTTTATTATTGGAGCTCCTGGTGGAGCCTGGCCAGGGCCTGGCAGACGCTGTTTCATGTGCGTGTCTGCCCTGTGATTATTCCACATGAAAGCTGTCTGCTTTGGCACAGACCGCTTTCAGCTGTGCCGAGCCGAGCCGGTGGGGGATGTTGTGCAAGAGAAATGCGGGTGGGCAGGGGGCTGAGCGCCCGGCTTGTGCGGAGCAGCAGGATGCTCACACGTGGCTTCTGAAGGAGGAGCCCAGGGTGGACAGTTGCTTAATTGGGAGGTTTCACAACTGGTTTTGTTCAGTTGATGGAGGAGAGGTTGGTTCAAGCGCAGATTCCTCACTAATAGACTGTAAACAAGCTGGGATGATGGGAATGCCTGGGGGGGGGGGGGGGGGCCCCCGTGCCTGTGGCCTCCTCTTCAGCCGCCCTCCCTCCCTTTCTTCTCCCAGGGTATTTTGGGTTTCAAAACAGAGTATGGAAAGGAGATTAGATAAATCTCCCTGGCTGGTGCCAGCCCTGGGGCCGTTTGCACACCTGGGTGGGTTAACTCCCTTCTCTCTCTCTCTCTCTCTCTCTCTCTCTGTGTGTGTGTGTGTGTGTGTGTGAGTGTGTGTAATTTTTATGCCATGTGAATAAGTAAACATCTACGACAGGAGATGATACCATTTACAGCCTTTGCCTCAGGGAGACTCCACTTTTATCTGCGTGCCCTGGCAGCATCACCCTCCATGGCACCTGGTAGTTAACTGGGTAACAGCCCAACAGCCCGTCTGAAATGGGAATTTGGGTTCATGCTTCCCGGCTCCCCCTCCCTCCATGACTCCCCAGTCTGCTCGGGAGCTGCTGGGGTCCGGCCGAAGGGCCCTCCTTGGTCATCTCTGGATGGGACGGGCTCCGAGTCCTCACACCTGCTCTCCTTTCTCGCCCACATCTCCGAGTCAGCGCTCCCGTCGCCTTGTAGTGTCTTCCCTGTGAACCTGCTGCAGGTCTCTCACTGCAGGCAACAGCGTCCGGTGAGGGCCCCACTGCAACCCGAGCTGCTGCCAGGGTGCAAACCGCCACGCAGTGCGTTCCTGAGAGCACGGAGCTCGGTCATGACGGAGCACGCACATGAGAGCAGCACGCACATGAGAGCAGCATGCACATGAGAGCAGCACGCACATGAGAGCAGCACGCACATGAGAGCATCATGCACATGAGAGCAGCACGCACATGAGAGCAGCACGCACATGAGAGCAGCACGCACATGAGAGCAGCATGCACATGAGAGCATCATGCACATGAGAGCAGCACACACATGAGAGCAGCACGCACATGAGAGCAGCATGCACATGAGAGCAGCACGCACATGAGAGCAGCATGCACATGAGAGCAGCACGCACATGAGAGCAGCATGCACATGAGAGCAGCATGCACATGAGAGCAGCACGCACATGAGAGCAGCACGCACATGAGAGCAGCAGGCTCGGGCCGAGGGCCCGCCCAGCCGCTACCAGGACAGGCTCTGACAGGACTCTGTTTTCTCCCCTCCCCTCCACAGCCCACACCTCGTCTTCCTCTCTCAGAGCGCCCTGACCGGGGGGCGCCACCTCTGCGGGACCCGGCTCTGCCATGAAATTGCTCACGCCTGGTTTGGCCTGGCCATCGGGGCCCGCGACTGGACGGAGGAGTGGCTGAGCGAAGGGTTTGCCACTCACTTGGAAGATGTGTTCTGGGCCAAAGCACAGCAGGTGGGTTTAAAGTGACCCTGCACGTTTCACTCCCTGCAGCCAGGTTCTGTTCACGGTCATTCCTTCAGTCAGCAGACATGTACCCAGTGCTTGTTGCCCAGGCGGGGCTGGGAGGGGGCTGCATCATGGAGGGGCAGTCCCTGAGCCTGCAGGGTGGAGCCAAAGGAGAAAGAGGGCATCACCTGTGCCACGTCCATAACAATAGGACATACAGAGTCTGTGGGTCAAGCATGTCAAACTCAAAGGCTAGCACGGGCCAAATAAACAAGGTTCAGTGTATGTGGGCCGAAAAAAAACCAAAAGCTTCAATTTTCATAGAAACGTAAGTTTATTTCGATAGAGACATGCTGAATACAAAGGACTGAAATAAACAGGTAATCGTTAACATAAAATAATAGAACATTTTAATAGAAATTAATATTTTTCCTTGAACATTAACTTACCAGACACTGAATAACTGGACAAATTAATGAGCCTAACGCAAATAAATCTATTTTTATTGTTCTCTGAAAACAAAAGATTTTCTGTTGTGCACACCAAACAAGTCAGTCCAAGACTAATGACATGGCCATCGGCTGCTAAAATATTCACTGCTAGTATTAGTGGAGAGAAATGGTGCCCTGTGCAGAAGGCGCAGAAAGGAAATGAATGCAACAGGATTATAGTAATCAATTAAATGTTGTAGTTCGTTATTAATAATTATGTATAATGGGATATTATAACAATTAAGTTATGAAATTTTTATTAAAATGTTTCTTACATACCGTTATATTGGCTGGGCCACAAAAATATTTGTTGTGGGCCCCATGCGGCCCGTGGGCTGAGTTTGACATGCTTGCTGTAGATCTACTGGCCTCTGCTGACTGCTTGGCACCTGAGTCCCTCTCCGATGCAGCCTGCTCCTCGTCTGACTACATCCCTGCCATTCCCTAAGCCACATGTGTCAAACACAAGGCCCACGGGCCAAATCCGTCCCGCCAGGCCTTGCAATGTGGCCCGCACCGCGCTGTCATCACTGCACTCCGCTGCGTTTCCATCACAATGACAGTTTATGATTGTTCAGTAAACCATTCGGCCCGCGATTTAGGCTGGATTTTAGATTTTGGCCCCTTCTCTGATTGAGTTCGACACCCCTCTGGGCCTAAGCACACCAGGTTCTTTCCGGCCCCATGAGCCTCGCCTCTTCCTGACATTCCTCCTCAGGGCCTGACTCCTGCTTCCCCTGGAGACCAGCTCAGGTCCTTCCGCCCTGAGGAAAGCCTCCGACACCCCCACCCGCGGTGGCCAGGGGGCATTTGGCTTCTTCCTTCAGAGGGTATTCTTACTCCACCCCCTTTGCCCCTGCACCCGCCAGAGCCGTTAAAGACCTTCTATTTCCGGAAGTGGGTCTCGGTGCAGACCAGTCCCTCCCAGTGGAAGCTTTGCTGCCCTGCCTTAAGGAGGGGACGGGCTGATGGACGGCGGTGCAGGTGCAGGCCTCCCCCAGTGCGCCCGGCCTGCGCCGGCCTGGTTATAGGCAAACAGAGCCAGCTGGGCTGCATTAGCGGGCTCCAGGGTGAACAGCCCTACAGAAACGGGCTGGGGAGAGAGGCCAGTGCTGGGACCTTCCCCGCCCTGTGCGGAGGCACAGAGCAGGAAGGGCTGGATGGAATCCGAGTGGAAATGGTCCCGAGGGAAGCCTGCTCTCTCCGGGGCGGGGTGGGCTCCCGGGCCAGGCCTGCCTCCCGAACCGGCAGCAAGATGGTGAACAGCTGGCTCTTCCCTCCAGCACCTGAGAGGCCGGGCCTCCCGACGTTTCCGATGGGTGCGGGGCAGCAGGAGGCCCTCTCTGCGTCCTCCCGGGCGGCTGTGACCTTGTGCAAGGACAGCAGTGACGGTGTTTGTGCACGTGTGTTTGTGTGTCTGACTTAGCAGCTGGCCCCCCACGAGGCCCAGGAGCAGCAGGAGCTGCGGGCAAGCCTGCGCTGGCGGCGCCTCCAGGACGAGCTGCGGAACTCCCCGGAGCAGCTGCAGGTGCTGAGGTAAAGCCCACGGATCCCTCCCCGCCCCTGCTCCCGCACCTCCTCCCTCCCCAGCCTCCTTCCCTTCCGCACATGCGGGCTGAGTATCAAATCTGCTGTTTCCTTTTTAATTAAGTCGGACCAGGTTACTCATCCTCCCAGGGCTGTGGTCCCCTGGGATGTGGTTGTTATGCTCTAAGCCTTGCGGGTGTGGATTTGGACCTGCCTCCTGACATTCTCCTGGTGTCTCTATTCAGGAAAACACTAGCATAAGGCATTTCTGGGACCAAATTCTTCCTTTGAAGTTCTAATAGTCACTTCACGTGGTGGCAGGGATTTGGAGGAGGTCGGGTTTGGTGGCCTGGCAGGCAGGAACCCTTCAAAGCCCAGGGGAAACCCTGTAGGAAGCTATTGGCCCTAAGCGTTCCGAGGTAGCAGCTGTCTGTGTCAGGGGGCCTTTGTGTGGGATCGGCCCCAGCAGGAGGCCACCCCAGAGGAGCCTTCTCCTGCTCCTGCGTTCCTTTCTAGACTGCCTCGAAGGCTTGTAGGATTACTTCTTGCCTTTTTGCCATCTTCGTCCCCCTCTGCTTTGCTGGTTTTCTTCACTTCTCTGAATAGTTATTTATCGGAAACCTCCAGCCTAGGCCCCAGGAGCACTGCGGTTGCCATGGCAACATAAGCTCTCCTCCTGCCCACTCTGGGCGCGCGCCAAGTGTTTGCAGTCCTCAGTCAGACAGGTGGGAAGGCGGCCATCTAGGAATTGCCCCACTTCAGCTGGCAGCCCCCACGCCTGCGTGTTCTCCCCAGTTTTAAGGAAACCCCCGAGGCCGCGGTGACTCCCCGCGGAGCCCACGTGTGAGGGGCCTGTGGAGCAGCCGGACCCGCGGCTGGCGCTTTCCTGCCGCAGGGCGGCCGGGTGCTGCGAGCCCTCAGCTCTGACTGCTGCACTGTCAGGGGAGCCGAGCCCTCCCCGCCCCCCACCCCCGCCCGCCCCTCCGTCCCCACTCACTGGGCTGGTGGCTGCGAGCCCTCAGCTCTGACTGCTGCACTGTCAGGGGAGCCGAGCCCTCCCCGCCCCCCACCCCCGCCCGCCCCTCCGTCCCCACTCACTGGGCTGGTGGGTGGCGAGCCCACCGCGTGCCCCTCCTCCCCCAGGGACAGGGCCCAGCCCGCAGGAAGCTTCCGCTTAGGGGGACCTGGCCATGTGCGTGGCTGGTTGCAGGTGCTGAGAAGTGGGGCGAAGGGAGCCCAGGGATGTCTGGTGAGGGGTAGGTATGCCTCTGGGGGAGGCTGAAAAGCCGGAGGCAGGAAAGGGAGTGGCGTGGTGCTGGGGCAGAGGGGCAGGGGCAGAGGGAGGGAGGGCAGTGCCGCTGAGGTCAGAGCAGGGAGAGAGGCAGGAGCCCCAAGGGCCTGGAGCAGGGAAGCGCCCTGTCCTGTGGGTTGCATGCTGCTCTGGCTGCTGTGCGGTGGGTGCGGGCAGCTCACCGAGGGGCGGCGGGTGGACAGCGGCCGTCTGCACAGGAGCGGGTGGGCGCAGGGAGCAGCCTGTGTGCGCGCTCCGGCAGGTCTGGGTGGATGGGCTGTGCGGAGAGGAGAGAGGGCCCGCCCGGCAGGACGGCCGGGCTTGGGACTGAGTGGCTGGTGGATGATGAGGGCCAGCAGGCTCGGACTCTGAGAGGGGCCGGCTCTGGAGGGAAAACAAAGATCCCAGGTTCACGTGCTTCAGGTTGATGCCCAAGCAGCCCTTCAACATTGAGAGCTCAGCGGGGCCCACAGGTCAGGAGCTCGCTGGAGAGATTAGACCCTTTGGCGCACAAAGGCTTTAAAATGTGGGCACCTGACATCACCAGGGAGAGAGGACAGTGAGAGAAGAGGCTGGGAGGGAGGTGAGGGAGTGGGGGGAGGGGATCAGTGTGGAGAAAGCTCAGGCACCAGAAGCCAGGAAAGAGCGAAGAAGGTGGGAGCGGGTGTGGGATGCTGCTGAGGGCGTGTGACGGGGAGGGAGACCTCACGACGACGCTGTGGTCTCGGCACACGTGCCTTTGTTCACGGGGGGGGGGGGGGGGGGGGGGCAGACTGGGGCTGGTAGGAGAGTGAGTGGGTGACCGGAAGCGGAGGCAGTGTGTGCACGTGGGAGGGGAAGCTGGTGGAGGTCAGAGAGGCTTGTTTGGGGTGGCCGTGCGCCGGGTAACCCTGCCGACCTGTCCCCTCTCCCCTCGGTTTCTTCCTTCTCCACGTGCCTGCGTCCCTCTGACGCCCGGGTACTGTGTGACCACGTGCGGGGGGCGGGCATCGTGATTCGCATCAGTTGATGACGTGTGTGTCCGGCTTGTGAGCCAGCAGCCTGCACCTGGGAGGCCAGCACAGTGAGGAGGCTCAGCTCCGGGGCTGTGGTCAGCCCAGCTCTGCTGGCCATGAGCGTTGCCCTCACGTACGGAGCCAGGAGGAAGAATACACTGTTGGTACCCGTGCACTAGAAGGCTTATGTGGCATTTATTTTTCTTTGTCTTCACGTTCAGAAATTCATTAGCCTGAACGTAGGCCAAGGGTCCGCCCTCCATGCACACGGAGAACCGAGAGGTTCCGGAGGGAACGGAGGAACCAGAGTTGTAAACGCCGGTTCTCAGACTTCGTTCAGGTTTGCTACACAAACGAGAGCTTGCTGAAGAAGTCTCCTAGGCAACGCAGTGGTCCAGGATGCCGTCTTGTTTTGTCTTTGAAGATACCGCATGGTCTTGGAAGGATGGCCGAGCACAAGGCGGAGCCTTGGCGTGGCCTTGCTGCGCTCCTGCCTGCTGCCCGGTGCTGTGGGAGCCTCTCCCCGCCTCGCGCAGCCCCCACCTGCCCGCCCACCGCCCCTGCAGCACGTTCTCCCGGCGCCGACACATGCTTCTGGTTCCCTTCAACCCACCGGCGCTCCCCTCCCTCTTCCGGCTCCCGGCTCTCGCAGGCATGGCTCGGGCTCAGAAAGCCTGGCTGAGGAGCAGAGCCAGTGCACCTGTCCTTTTTCCCCGGGCCATCTCCCTGCCTTCAAGGAACTCGATGGCACTGTCCTTGTGTATCTTGAACTGAGGGAGGACATGAAGGTGGGGGAAAATATCCTTGGACCAAGCACCTTTGTCTTTTTACACATGAGAGCATAGCTGTGGGCGTGGGGGGAAAGGGAGAAAAGCAGCATTGTGTTGGTTAGATACTGAAGTAATAGCAAAGTGAGAAGAGAAAAACGGGAATTCTGTTTGGCTCTGACCTGCTAATTTCAGTAATCTGTAGGAGCGGTTATGCATTTGTGCCTTCCGTGTGTCCAGTGGTGCATTGTGGGTCTCGTCAGATGTGTCTTAGGTCGGAGCGGCTCCTGGCCTGCTCAGCCCTCCTCGGTGGGGCGCCGGCAATGTGACTGCAGGCTGTGGAGGCGTGGCCATTTGCTCAGACTTTCAAAATGCCAGGGGTCACGTTGCTGACTCTGTGCCTTTTCTCATTTGTTAATTATTAAAGACGCCTTTCCCGTAGGCGAGACCCCAGTGACTCTGTGCAGGCTCTCCCTCTCGCTCCTTCAGCCCTGGCGGGGCTGTGCGCCAGGCTCGGCCTGACCTCCTCCTGTCCTGCTCCCCCCTGCCTGGCCGCCACCTCTTCACTTCCTCCTGTCACCCCCACCCTCAGCCAGGGAGGCTTCCTGCCTCCGGCCCGGGGAGACGGGGGAGACGGGGCTTCTAAAGGCTCGCTGCCTGGCCGCTGCCTGGCCACCTCTTCACTTCCTCCTGTCACCCCCACCCTCAGCCAGGGAGGCTTCCTGACTCCGGCCAGGGGAGACGGGGGAGACGGGGCTTCTAAAGGCTCGCTGCCTGGCCGCTGCCTGGCGCGGGGGCCCAGCGGGACCCTGCCCCGCTCAGTGCTGTCAGTCCAGCTCTGCGGGCCGGTGGGCGGAAGAGCTATAGGGGTGGGGTCAGAAGAAATCTCTGTTGGTTTTTATTGTGATGTATTACCATGCCCCCTTTTTCTGGATTCATTGTTAAAGTCAAGCTTGTGCTGAGAAAAACATTAAAATATGTCACGTGGAGGAGGCAGTCGATGGCCAGCTCCTCCAGCTGCTGCCACCACGGCCTGAGGTTCCAGGGGAAGGAGACACCTGCCCTCCCACACGAGGGCCTCGCCCCTGCCCACCAGGACGCCCCACCATCCCGGGGAACCCCGAGTGTCGCTCTGTTACGGCCAAAAGCTCTGTGGCCGCCCGAGCCTGAGCCCTCCGCTCCGTGACGCCGGGACGGGGAGCCCTATGGTCCTCCCGGTGGCCGTGGGCTGGAGCACGTCCATCCCCCTGCCGTCCTCTGTCCCTCAGTGAGTGAAAACATATCCTCAGGAGGGTTTTTAAAAGCTCCATGCGTGAACCTTCTCTAGCGTGCATGAAGTTTTCACCTCTGAAGTTTTTCTCAAAAGTTTTACTTCTAATCCTTCAAGAACATGGCAGTCTTGCCGAAACCGGTTTGGCCCAGTGGTTAGAGCGTCGGTCTGCTGACTGAGGGGTCCCAGGTTCGATTCCGGTCAAGGGCATGTGCATTGGTTGCGGGCACATCCCCGGTGGGGGGTGTGCAGGAGGCAACTGGTCGATGTTTCTCTCTCATCGACGCTTCTAGCTCTCTATCTCTCTCCCTTCCTCTCTGTAAAAAATCAATAAAAAAAAAAAAGAACAACAACAAAAAAAGAACATGGCAGTCTTGTCCTTCCCAGGAGTGGGAACACATCCACCGCGCCTCAGGCCTGCTTCAGGGAGCAGGTACGCCCTTCACAGTCCCCTGTTGCTATCACATGCCCACCCCCGGCTCAGGCTCGGGCTCCTCCATGCTCCTTCAGCCTGGTGCCTCAGGGCTCCCTCCAGCCACTCTCCCTCCCTCCGCCTTTGCCTCCTGCCCCACGGGGAAAGCTGAGCCATCGGCCTGCCGGCCCTTTGATTCTGTAAATGCATCTGCACCCACACCTCCCCTGACCTCCCAGGGCCCGAGTGCCACCTGCTCTCAGTCAGGATTCCG